TACTCTCTCTCTCTCTCTCTCTCTCTCTCTCTCTCTCTCTCTCTCTCTCTACATGTAAAAGCTACCAAGCACATCAGAGTTTCACTTGAGGGCAGAAGAACACTGCTAACCACATTCTTGAGATTCTTCTTGTTGGTAGGTTGAACATATTTAGACAATGAGTACATAAAAGTCCCCAGCATGTGAAGACTCTGAGGTGCTCGGAAGTGCCATATGTTACACAATACCAAACCCTAGTGGGCTCCTCCTCATCTTACTTGGAAGGATGACCAAAAACAACCTCAAAACTCATAAAAACACTAATTGATGGTGGAGCATCAAAGGGCATGAATAGTATCATCCCATCACCTCCCAGAGTATCAATACCTGTAATCCATCCATTCATACATGGGTACGTCCCAAAAGATCAATGCTTGTAATTCATCTATTCACTTAACCTAGGTCGCATCAGATATGATCAAAGGGGTAAAACAAAAATCCCACAGTCACATATGATAGGAAGCACCGAAAGCCCTCCGATTCTGACCCGTGCATTAGAAACGTTTGGCCACTAAACTAATCTCCATCAATTTCTGACGCTTACACAATCACCTGATTATTCTACAACTATTATGTTGATAGATTGTGATACCACAAGGATCACCAGCAAGTAAGATATTTTCCTTTTTCTAGCTGATAGGCAAGATCAACTTGGTGCAGATCGAAGATATGATTAATGTAACTATCCAAAGAAAAAGCATGTTCGTCAACAAATAAAGGATTGTCAGAGTCCATCCGATTCCATGACAAACAAGCTCGAAAATCTTCCAAGCTCCAGAACACTCCTTCCAGAAAGAAACGAGGGATGATCGCTTCCGACACTAGCGAATAGAACTCTATCCACCAAGCGACAAGAAAACGAAAACCCTAAAGAAAACAGACTGATGGAGTAACTGCATAAATGAATAAAAAATCCATTTTCTAGCGGTTAACCATCAGATCTCTCAAATCGAATAGACTCCAATCGAGCTCAGAAACAGACAGTCGAAAAAGAGGGCAGATCGAAGGGGAGAGCGGGCATCAGATCCTTCTTCCCCGTTATCCATCACGAGATCGAGAACGCAGGATAGGGATCAAATGAGGGGACTCGGACCTGAGGGAAGGAAGCGCTCTGTGCCCAGACACTGCCATCGTGGCCGAGGATGGCGGCCGCCGTGAGATGCTGCCCGTCGATCTCGCACATCAGATGGTCGTCGACGTATGCTTGCCACGACATGCTCTCTCGCTCTCCCACCCTTTCTCCTCTCCTGCTGTTGCTCCTGCAATCTCTCTCTCTCTCTCTCTCTCTCTCTCAAGTGATGGTTGTCATCGAAATACTTTTATTTTGGATATTTTCTAAACAGTTATCTTAATTTTAATTATTTTCAAATCATACATCGTAATTCATACACTACCCAAATTACCCCTTCCGCTCTACCCCACTTCCACTGCCGCTGCGCCCTCGCCGGACCCGGTGTGTCGCGCGAGCACAGTGGCAGGCAGCCAAGGGAGGGGAGGGGGGCGGTGGGCGGGGCCAGCCAGCGCGCAGAGGCACAGGCGAGACCAACCCACGCGCGAACGGGGGCGGAAGGCGGGGTCAGCCCACGCGCGGAGGTGCAGGCGCGGCCAGCAGGCCGATGGCAGCCCTCGCGCCCCCTCCTTCCTCGCGCAAGGGCTGCGAGCGACGGCTCTGGCGTGTCAAAGGGAGCGAAAGCGGTGCAAGGAGGAGGCGGCAGCGGGGCAGCCGGCGACGGCGACGGCGGCGACGGAGTACGCGATGGTGTAAGAGGGTGGAAATTTTGGGCTTTTATGAATTAGGGGTATGATTTGAATAAATTAAAATAAGGATAACTGTTTAGAAAATATCCAAAATAAAAATATTTTTTAGAAAAATCGTCAACAAAGCTTCATGCAGTTAGTTACAGGTAAAGAACTAACATAAATGAACGGACAAGATGTAATAGCGTGATGATCATGACTTGTGATGAGAGATCTGGACCATCAATTCTCGACACAATTAGAGGAAAATCATTACCTTTAATTTCTTGTTTCCTTGCACCAAAAATTGCTACATATGAAATCAATGATTTCTGTATTTAACTTATGTTATCTTTTTATCTCTTGATTTTTTATGCCATTGCCAGAGTAGAAAATATTGGAATTCTAATTTTAAGAATATGTTTGCAATTTAACTTTTTAGTTCAAATTGCTCTTTCGCAATTATAATTAGTAGTGTTTAATTTGTGTTTTTTATAATATTACTGGAAGTGATATCCTATAAAATTTTAATATACAAAAAAGATATACATAAATTATTTCAAGTTTTACAAGGATCAATTGCTATAATAATAATAATGCCATCTAAGTTGGGGAAGAGAAATAAAAAAAAATTTCCCATATAAATTTCATACATGAGCTATAATAGGCAATCTCAAAGCAAAGTTGAGTGCATCCATTTATGCATCTTATCTTTATTGCTACAAACATATAATTCCATAGAGATCACATTTTATTCATTATATATATATACATATATACATATATGTATATGTATATATAAGTTGCTTTAAAGATCAATTGTTTGATATCTTAAAGGAACATTTTGTTCCACCAAATGCATGCATTTGCATGACCCACATCTCATAAAAAGTTGAACAGAATCAAATGGTACATCCACACCTGCTGGCTTACAGAAATAGGAGGAGGCAGAGTTGTCCCTTAAAAGGTGTCTTGCCATCAGAAGCTGCAGGTGTTCATGGTTGCAGCAATAATGGCACCTGGTGCAATGTTTCTGTATTTTATTGATTATGTGACCCAATATTAAGATATGTCTTTTATTGATTGAAGTATTTCAACTCAAAATGACATTGATCAAAATTTTAATATGATATCATCATGCCATGCTTAGAAAAAAATATATCCCTGATTAATATCCATCAGCATCAAATACCTTTGATAGTTGCTATATCTTTCGTTGCATTTATGTGAACTGAAAACAATTCCATACCTTGTCAACTTTTACAATAAGCTCAGTCTCAATCTAGTATTCCAATCGATCATTCTTCCAGTCTTTGATGTTAGCTTGAAAATTTGTGGATGACTGCAGGAGAGAGCTCTCAATGGATCTCCGGGAAACATCCCACTCTTTTACATCTCTTTTCTGGAGATACAGAGGCAACTCTTAAGATCATGATTTTAACCAAAGTTTTGTAATATGCCTGCAACAAACAAGTATTCCAGGAGTTGAAGAACCTCTTCACCAGGAAGCAGTAGTAATTTTTTATGTGGCAGCAGACCTCCTTTACTATCTGTAAACAAAAAGATCATGATTTCTTTTGCATCAGCTTGATGATTACCGACGAGGAGCAGCGGTACTTCTCTCTTGCGAAGCAGTAATCCCCCTCCAACACCTGAACAAAGAATCCTTAGTTCATCAGGCATTGTTCTTTGATATAATAGATCACAAAATAAGAGAACCACCATTTATTCCTAATCGGCATGATGTGCTCCCAAAAATCATCTTGGTTACATCTAGGAAAGATCGACTAGACAAGTTCTAAGAAGCAAAATTGGGATTCAGAAATATATCATTCTAGTGGAAGATATTTGAGTCCAGTGGAAGAAAAGAAGGAAATGGATTGAAGGTGATGAAAAAGGAACAGTAAAAAGATCCACACATGCAAAGACAGACATCACAAAAGTTGAAACTCCCAGTTTTTCTACAGATTATCCAACTGAAAAATTACAGAATTACAGGTGCAAACTTTTACACCAACAAAAGCAGCTGAAAAAGAATGAGCAGAAAATCAAGAAGAACGCCATTACTAGGTGTAGCAGGCTAGCAGCCTACTACAAATAAATATATAAACAGGGTAAAAAGGAATCACTTTGCTGCAAGATTACAGAAACACTAATGGCGCCATAGTACACCATTGTTAAGGGAAGCCCCAACTTCTAGTGATTTAGCATGGCTAAGAAAGTTTCACTTGGGGACCGATTTCATGATAGTTAGCTGCTCCCCACCAGATCGCAAAAAAAGATATTTCTCTTGATCTGCATCATCACTCTCTAGAGGATCATGTGTGGTCGCGGTGATCACTGACAAGAACTCCGATCCATCCTCTAGAGGATAAACAAAAAGTTAATAATATATACAACTAATATGCATCATCATCATTCTTTATAACAACTTTGCTTTAGCCAAGGTAACCAAAGATCACATTTCTTCACTAACCTGATAAACCCTGGTATTCGGCTATCTGTTTGACAGCTGGCAAACGAAGGCTTTCAGGTAGTAGACAATTACAAATTGCACCTACACAGAAAAATTAAATCACCATACCTAAAAGCCTCTTTCAGGAATATAAAAAATGTATCCTGAAGGCGCAAAGACTATTAAGGAAATTAATACCAAATTACCTAGTCCTGCAAGCCTGTTAACCCACAGTGGAATTGGTCTTCCTGTCAGTCTCTTGCTGACATCATCTGTGAAGTGATTGCAATTTTTTGAAATGAGGTGATAGGTGTCTCCATGATACTCTGTGGCAATGCTTTCTATAAATGCCTGAAACTCAGATGGAGGCATACTTGTATGACCCAACAAAATGGAACATCTATATAGAAAACCCGGGCAAGTCTTTGGTTCCACCTCAAACACACCGCTCGTAGGGAAATCATGTGCTCCAAACCCATACTCCAGTTCATGGACTGTTTCAAAGCAATTAGATATCAGTGATCATCATATAAAGGTACGCTAAGTCCTCAACTAGAAAATTCATTTACGAAGAATGAGCATTCCATAGGTAATTATATTTTTCATAAATTCCTGATCTTACAAGGTGGAGCCTTGCTTGGAATGTTCTTATTCAAGAGGATGACAGCATGCAAACCACATGTTTTAAATGAAACATAAATTTGATGAACAAGATTCTTTTCTTGTAGGCTTCAGTGAACGATGTAGACATTGGAACAGAACTCAATAGCCCCAGTTATGATTCTTCAAGTCTCTGTCTAGGTTTTCTTGAACAGCAGCTGTTTGCTGCCAACAAATTCAGAAAGCACTTGCCCGACAGATCAAGCAGAGGGACCTGTTCTCACTAGTCAAGGTATCACCTACAATGGCAACCAAGTATGTATGTGACTTTTTACCTTTCCATTTTCGTGGCTTCTTTGTTCTCTTTTCATCTATCTCTGTTTTAATTTATTCAATCTGTTTCTATCTACTATGGCAACCAAGGAAGTATGATTTGGAGAAAGAATTACTTATTAGTTTATTCATTGATTGATACCCGTTACAATCTCGTTTCTTTTTTGTATACCCCTAAGAAAAATAATAAAAAATATCATAACAAGGAATAAATAGAATTAAAATTATATTATATAAATCAAAACATATCAATCATTTCATTTTTCCTTCTTCAAGAAGGATGCATTTCTATGCTTGTTTTGGCAAATAGTTTTCCTTGTTGATAAAATATCTAACTGATAGGCATCTTTCTCTATAAAATTTTCTAATAAGAAGAAACTTCCAAATCGGTGTGCAGACTGGTTGGCTAAGTTTGCGCTTTCTGCAAAGCCTTTTTTTTTGTGGATGGATCAATAGCCTGATCCATTTCTTCTTTTTTTAGTGTTGATGCTGCAAGCATAGGTTGTAATCGTTTTTTTTTCTAATAAAAAGTATTTTTTTTTTAAGTAACTTTCAAATGATAATAGAAACCAGGGTCTGTAGTACCGAACTGTACCGCCCGGTACGGGCGGTACGTACCGGTCCGACAGGTTGCCGATACGCGGACCGCCTATTACCGGTCCGAGTGCACTGTAGCACTGTAGCAGTGCTACAGTACTTGGCACACCTGGGTATACCGCTCGATATACCGTACCGTACCGGTACCGAGCCCAGGTCGAAAAACCGGTACGGTATGGTATTACGAACCTTGATAGAAACTATAAATAAGATTTAAATAATCGTGACTTAGCGAAATATAAGATTTTTATTTTTTCATATATCTCAATGTGATAAAAGATAAACGTAGCTACCCCAGATTATTAGGATTTTACGGCTTTGTTATTGTTGGCATAAGATACTTCCTTATGAGAGCAAAATCTTAAATCAAATTCAAGATTTAAATCCATCCCTTTTCCTTAAAAAACTCAATCAAGCCTAAGATTTGTCTCATTCCTTCTTTTCTTTGCCCTTTTTCCCTTTCCCTTAGGCAATTTTGGTAACTAACATAAGGGAACAAAAGATATTGTCATTTGACAACTTATAAATATTTACATAATAACTTGTAAACTAAAAAATTATTATAAAAATAAATTAAAACCGTGTTGCATCACATAGGAAGAGGAGGTGATTGTTTAGATTAAAAGAACAAAAGAAAAAAAAAAAGAAAGATGACACATTATTTCAGTCTGACTCATACAAATTGATAAAGTCAACCAATCAACTCGCAAGCTATAGTGAGACAACCGAGATAACTCCCTTTTAAGTGACTGGGCTCTCTATGATTGTATGATCTTGATCGTGATTTTATGGGTGTTAAACAGATACAATCCAAACTGTTAAGCGCTGAACCAAACTGAAAATTTTTTCGGTTCGGTTTGATTAAAGTAATGTAGTTCGAACTCGAACCGATTCAAACACGGTTAATATGGTTCAGTTAACCGATTAACTGGTTTATAATTTTAAGTAATTTTAAAAATTATTTTCAAATGAACCGGTTCAGTTCAATTGAACCGAATCAAAATCTTGATCCAATTCAGTCGACACGACAAGATTTGTGAAATTGAACCCACATCATTTGTAAAATTAGACCTTTGGGATGGTTTAGTTAATTGGTTTGTATCAATTAAGGGTTAGGGGTAGTGAACTCATCAGACTGATATCTTTTGAATTAAAATTGATTCAGTTTGGTTTGAACCAGTTAATCGAACCTAAGGAGAGTACTCCCACTCTATGCAAGTTATTTGAGCCAAAAGACTTACTCAGTCAATATACTTCGTATTAGAGCCTTCGTGTGGTTAATTTTAAATGTGATTATTGCATATTTACCCTATCAATATGAAACAAAATTGAGATATTTTTGCCTACTAAAACTAGCACAGCTTCTTATCATTTCACTGCTTAGGTTGTAGCAGAATGAATCAGCAGTAAAAATAAAGTGCATGGCAAATATTTACCACAACAGCATGCCTTGCATTATGTGTACAATTGTATATGACAGGAGATTGCCATTTAAAATAGCCACTTATTTTTATTAATAAAACATTCAATCAAATATTTGATAATCTGGAAAGACTTAAAACATGATAAGATTATATGGGAAGACTTGAAAATCTGGAAAGGGGAATATTTTGCAAATTTCTTAATCTTTCTTGCTTAAAGAACTATATATCTGTCCCCATTCTTCTAGTCCTAGAAAAGATAAGGCCATGTGATCAACTGGTACATCCATAGATAGTATATAGCCTCTCCATGGTGTCAACACTGAACATATGCTGCAGGATAAAATTACCCATCCACAAAACCTTTAGGTACCAGAAACAATTTTTCAAAGGAACCTAATTTTCAAGTTTTCTGGTACACATTGCCAAGAAGAAATTGAAATCTTGTCTGGAAAATCATCCTAATCGATGTATTTTAAGCTTAGAAAAAAAAAGAACTTGGACATGAACAAAGCTGCTCTCCTGGCTCTGTTTATACTGGTTTCAGATGCTAATCCTATTTATCCTGGATCCAACAGGTTGTGGAAACTGCTTCCTAACTGTGATTAAAGAATTACTTGTATTAATCATGATGTTTTAAGGAATGTAGTAATCCTGAATAAATAGATCCACTACGAGTAATTTTATATCTGCTCCAACAGCAATCACAATGAAGAAAATTACAAGCCACTTCCTTTACCTTCTTCTTCACTTCAATTCGTCTTTAACTTCACTTGTACCCGTATGTTGCATCTGGTAATAATGTGAAACTCCATTTCCCAAGTACCACCACAAAGAATATGTGTAACAGAATTAAGACCATTAAATCTGTACAGCCAGATATTCTCGTCCATCCAGTTCTTGATTTCCTATCGTCAGTAGCCCGATTTCTAGATATTCAATTGAATCTAAAGTTCCCCAAATCAACTTTAACTGCTTTATCATATGACACAAAATTGAAAAATGCGACAACAATCCCAATTCAGAAACATAACTCCTTCCGATCGCGAGGGCTCCACTAAACACATTGAATCTCAACATCGGTTCCAAGAAGGCAAGCCCTAATTCAACACAAGCTATCTAATTCACCAGCAACATCTTACAGAAAGAACTAAAATCGAACATTTTAGGGAAACAGGAGATATGGGCACTCACCTTCGATGCCGGAGTGAAAGATGCCGATGCCGAGCCACCGCACGTAGTTGTTCAAGGGGGTGAGATCGTAGACGTTGAGCACCACGGGGCTTAGAGCGGCATTGCCTTTGGAAGGCGACCCCCCCGAGGACATAACGGACCCCATGGAACAGGAATGGGTCCGACGAGGAGACCCCGGTGATCGCTGATGAAATAGGGTTTCTCGAAAATCGCGAAATAAAGGAGGAGGAGGAGCCTCTCTCTCTCTCTCTCTCTCTCTCTCTCACCACTTCTCCCTCTCCCCTCTTCCCACTACTCTCTCGTCTTCGGGCGATGCTGTCGATTCACCCCTCGAGAACGGAAGCGGAGGGGCGGCTGCGGTCGCGAGAAATATCGAGTAACGAGCCTGACAAATGTCCATATGCCATCTTACAGGGACATTGGTTACGTGTATATAGTCCAGCTTTATACCCTTATACATGCATAAATACATTAAACATGTCAAAATCTATGCAAAGTATTATTTTCTTGATTTATTTATATATATATATATATATATATATATATATATACATATATCGGTAAAGTTCTTCATCATTATGGTTTTATGTTATTTTAAAATTATTTATGGTAAATATAGTAAATTCAGTTTGAGATACCACTTTTACTTTTTTTAGATTATTTATGAATTATATAGTCGATTCTTGAAATATTTAATTTGGTACATTCACTTTTCAAGTCATTAAGTTAAGTACGATATGCAATATTGTATCGTATCGATGGTGTTTCGAGGTTGGCTCGGTATAATACAGTACCGACGTACCGAACGGTACACCAGGGCATATCGAACGATACACTAGGGCTTAACGAGCGATTTCCTCTTACTGTAGCACTGCTACAGTGTATTACTGTAATACCGTACCACAGTCCGTCCGATAGTGGATAGTCCCCGTGTACCGATATGCGGTTGGACCGATACATACCTCCCATATCGGACAATACCATTCGAAATTACATATCATGAATAAATAGTATTTTTAATTTTACTTCTTCATTCAATGAATTATATAATCTGGGTGTGCTAGATAGATGCTTGCATTGCAACACCTAACCTCCTCACTAGATATAGGAAGATCTCTCCTTAGAGATAAGAGTAGTATTTATTTAATGGTCCCTATGTTTGATCATAGTAGCTAAAGATATGCTTTTTTTTTTTTTTCTGATAGAAAATATTTCAGAAATTAAAGGAGCTTCTTTTACCGAGAATTGAAAGGGTTTTTAATTCTTTCAATAAACTCTATAACTAGTTGTTAGTGGATTAATTGGGTTGATTAGACTTAAAGTGATCTAATGATTTCAATGGTCCTCACTAATATTTTATTTTCCGAGATTAGGGATTTTTATTAAGAACAATGACATTTCTTGCACAAGTTTAGGCTATCTGTTCCTTCATGATCAATGGCATTTCTCCAAGTAGAAACTACATGCAATGGTAGTCCCTAAAATATGAGATTTAGCCGATCAAATCCTTCCATCATTATCATTATTAATAGTTTAACTAGTCAATTGATATCAGTAAAAACAAAAAAAATATATATAAAACTTTAAATGGATTTTGGATAGTTAAAAGCTTGTAGAATCAATTTGAACCAGTAACTGATATATTTATGTGGAAAATCTCTGGATACCAATGACAACAAATGATGAGTTAATTTAATTAATATAAAATTATAATTCAAGAATTAATTTGATATAAAAGATTTAATATAAAACAAGTGAAGTAGGTTCCACAAATCTGAAAAAATATTTTCTAAAAAAATGCAAAAATTGAGAAGCAGATGCCTACAGAGTGCAAACAGACAGATTTATTTATCTGCCATGGTATTTCCTTTCTTCCTCATCAGAAAGTCCCTGAATTGATGGTAATTACTTCGTGCTATGGGGTGTGTGAGGTCAAGAGGAGGTGAAATCCTCTCTCTCTCTCTAACTTTTAACCCAGAGATTCTTCCAGAATGAAAGTAGAAATGTAGTGGCATCCAAATTGGCAAAGAACCACAGGTCAGACGCTGTAAACACCCGAAGGATTTGCATTTTGGACAATCCATGGATGCTGAAGCAGCCTGTGAAGTGGAAGTCGTTGTGATGAATCTTTGACAAGCATCTGCGGAAGATGTAAACTCATGTTGACGAAAGGGAATAAAATATGTAATATGTGGAAGCTAAAAAAAGGGAAAAGTTGGAATAAAAAGACATGGAAGATCATCAAGAACCTGGCTGATAAGGTCCTTTGCACCAGGAGAAACAATTGGTATCGAGGGAAACTTGAGATCAACATTTACTATCCTGAATCAGCAATGTAAACAGCAGTCCAGTTCAAATAGTGATACAGAACTTGCTTTGATCTTCTATATGACAGATAAACTTGAAAATAAGATTACTTGAAGAATTGACCAATAAACTTCTTATGTCAGCGTAGCCCACAAAATTGACCAATAAACTTCTTATATCTATGATGATTGGTAATGATGCAATTTAGCACATGATAGCCAGCTAAATACATTTGGTCATTGATTAACATGGGCTGTCATGCTCATAGTGAAACAGATTTAGAATCATTGATTAACATTGATTAAAATTTTTCCAAAGTGGAGGAGGTATGCCTCATCCAACTTATTTTTCTTCTTTTTGGCTAGAAGCAAACAACTTTCATTTCTTTGTGAACAAAAATTTTGAATGTAGCAACAAATCTACGATTATCTCTCTTTTATTAGCTTAAGAGCAACTTAAGATTTCAGTGTCTATGAAATCTTAGCCCAGTAAGCAAAGTACTTCCGCTCCTAAACAGAATATTGTTCGCGAAGCATTTAAACCAGGCACATTTTGTTTGCTTACCTTATGTATGTATCTGAATGTTCCTTTGCTTCAAATGGGGGAACCCCATAAAGGAACTCGTAGCATAATATGCCCAAGCTCCAAATATCCACATTAGCATCATGTTCTGCACTTTCCACTGTGGCCAATATATATGCAGGAAAAAGACCAAAGACAAATTTTAGATAAAAAATTTATAACAGAAATTGATCATGACAAAAGCTGACAAACCCATTTCAGGTGGAAGGTAATCCAGTGTTCCACACATGGTCTGCCTGCGGTTGAACGCGCGAACTGACCACCCAAAATCCGCAATTTTCAGCTCACCCTGTACAATGATTCAACTTCATAACCACTTCAAACTTTGTCTGTGAGGTACCAAGTAAGATCTACCTGAAGCCCGATCAGTATATTCTCTGGCTTGATATCTCTATGTATCACATGCTTCCCATGGAGGTATATCAAAGCTCGCGCTAAAGATGAAATGTACTGATGAACGGTTAGCACACAAACCGATCAGCAAAAGGTAAAAAAATTGGGAGGTTGGAGGCTCAAGTTCATTAAATAAAGCAAGTTAACACAGCTGAAGTTAGATGACTAGAAAGCAAACTTCACTGAATAATATCTCAGCCCAAACAGGAATGATTATAGTTTAACTCATACACTATCGAGAGAACTCACAGTAGCGGTGCGCCTTTCACTGAAGTATGTGCACTTCTGCAATTCCTTGTAAAGTTCACCTTTTTCCGCATATTCTAATAGCAAGTAAACACGAGCCTACAGTAAAAACGGTAAAGCCAAGCCAGTCAATTGAGTTAGCAAAACAAGATTCAACTAAAACATAGAAAATGACAAAGGGGATCGAACCTCATCATAGAAATAACCGTATAGGCGCAGTATGTTTGGATGCCGGAGGTGACTCTGTATCTCCACTTCACGCCGCACCTGATGCTCGACTTGAGATTGTTTGAGCTGGCTCTTGAAGAGCACTTTCAATGCCACAATTTGGTTACTCTGTTTTCCAGTTTGACACTAAAAGTTAGCTGTAATAGAATAAAAATCATACCTTGGCAAGGGGAAGTTCTTTGTGTAGTGAGTTTGAGCATTCATCGGATCGACCAAATAAGAACGAAATTCAAGTATTCATGCCATGGAGAATGCAGGCCTTATGATATGCTTATTAGTTTGAAAGGGAGGACCATATGATAAATGATTCTATAGTTCATACCCTCTTTTCCCTGGCCAGGTAGACATGACCAAACTTTCCTCTTCCGAGAGGCTTGCCGATATCAAAATCATCAACCTTCCATCGCCTCTCCGCGGCTGAAACCTTCGGAGGAGACTGCAATCACAAATATTTGTGAGATTGTATCATATAAAAGCTGTGACGCTCCACATCTAATAGATTATTGGCAACTTTCAATCCATATCGTAGCAAATCATTATCACAGGAATTTAAAAAAAAACCAATTTGGAAACCAACTACGAAACTCTAATATGTTCTCGAACAGATTACGGTAGCTATCTAACAAACAGACAAATAGAAGAATCCGCCGCCACCACCGTAGCACAAAACCCCTAGATTTTCTTGAGACGACCGCAAGAATCATAGTGGGAAAAGGAATCAAGAAAGAGGGCACGGTATAGGGAAGGACATTTGGAATCCGAAAACCTAACTTTCACGAAGAAAAGAGGAGGATCAAACCACAAGACACGAGAATAGACAACCAAACGTGGGATAGAAAGAGGACGGCGGCCCATCTGACGGAGAAGCGAAGATGAGCCCTAACCCGTCAAAGTATTCCCTTGCAAGGAACCCTGGAAAACCCAAGATCCCCATCGATTACCTTCTCTGCTTGCTGTGGCTCGGCGGCGATCGGCATCGGGTGATCGAGGAGGGATCGAGAGACGGAGGGCGAATTGCGGAGGGAAGAATTGGGTGGGGTTAGCAATCGAGTCGTATTTGAGACGGCGCTCCAACGGTCGAATACTTGGAAGCGCGAAGCCGATCATTTTTTTCAAACTGAGGCCGCGTTGTGAATAAAATTAATAACCCTTCAAAACTATATATATAAAAAAATCGTCTTATTCTTTAAAATAACGAAAATTTCCCCCATTTTTTATTTTCCCAAAAATGACCATTTATTTTAATTAATGAAATAAACAATTGTGATAATATCTTTGTAGTATTTTGGTAGATATGTGAAAAACATTGACATAGAAATATGTATATTTAATTGTTCATGTTCTTAAATCAATTAAGACATGTATTTGAAAATTTATTTTATTTTATTTAAGTGAATTAGTTTTTACCCAGTTTTGAGTCCATATACCTTGATTATGAATATAGTATTTTTTTAATTAGATTATAATATTTTGATGAAGGTACCAAAAATACTATAAATCTATTAAAAAATATTGACAGTATAAGTCTTATATATAAGAGATCATATTCAACCCCTCATTTTATTTATATTTTAGGCATTTCACATATCGAACCTCTCATTTTATTTTATTTTTGAATATTACTCAATTTTTAAAAAAAATATCTCAATTTTTTTTATTAATTTTAAACTGTTATAATATTTTTATTGAGGTACTGTAAATGCTATTGAGAAATATTATAAGTAATATCATATTGTGCTTCTTTAGTTATTATTATTCGTTGATCATTATGATATCATAGTTTTAATTTTATAATTAGTTTGATAGAGGTTAGGAGTCTATTTAAATTATTTATAATATTTTTATTATGGTTATCAGTATATTCTAACAAACCAATATTTGATTTGATTTGATTTTTGAATTATTACAAATATATATCTGAATCATATATCACATTATGTCTTGTGTGTCTTGGCTTTATTTGACTTATTTATATATTTTTAAATATATTTTATAGTAATTTTATTGTGATGGTCAGAATATTATAATATACCAAAAAATTATATTATACCAAAATTTTATAAATATTTTTAGAAATAATTTAAGTATTTTTAAATTAAGAATATTTGTAACACCCTGATTAGTCCCACATCGAAAGTGAGCAAATATTAAGATTAACTTATAAGGATTTGATGAGTGTACTATTAGCAACTTTTGGTTAGACTCGAATCAAGTTATCCGTAGATGGAGTCAAACTCGTCACGCCTTATTGTAACACCCCTGATTAGTCCCACATCGAAAATGAGCAAAGATTAAGATTGACTTATAAGGATCTGATAAGTGTATTATTATTAATTTCAGTTTAAATCAAGCTCGAGTCTTGATAATATTATTAAAAAAAAACACTGATCGAAAATATTTAAAATATAAATATTTTATAGGAAAATCGTCCATAAAAAGAAAACATCAACCTTATTGCAGAATGAGCCTACCGATCCTTAGCATTAGCCCTTCCCCGCCTTTTCTACAGTCCGTGAACCTGAATTCCCTTAGTCAGCCAGCGTCATTTACTGGGGAAACCTACCCAAATAAATGATCTTAAGTGACGATGACACCTGCTGAAGCAACAAGGACGATGCAATTACTCCTTCGACACATTGCATTTACTACTGCACACCATTGAATGGTTCCTGCACGTCTGCCTGCCTGCATGGCGAACATGGAGATCACCAGGCCAATCCATTAATCACCACCCACTCTCTTCGTCCCACAACTCCTTGCATGCCTGCCCCGAAGCTAGAGCTCATGTCCATCTCTCTCTTGGAAATAGTTCCGTGATCTCTGGTTGCTAAGCCAGTCAGAAGATCTTTAATGGCCACCCTGTTGTCATTTAAAGCTGCTTTCCCAGTGTGTCAAGACTGAGTAAGTACATGCTAGCTTCCACTGCTGCCCATCTCTTCTTCATTGCTGCTGACAGTTCCGTGTTGGGAAACTGACAATATGGCAACCTCGTTGAATCATCGATCTTAAGACCCACACCCTCTCACTCTAAGAAGAAACCATTGCAGAAGTACAAACTCGCTGCTACTTCCATGGCGGAAACACCGGTATGGCTACTCTTCATGGCCTTCGCCTCACTGCCGCTGCTTCCTTGGTGCAAAGGTGGCGACGAGGCGGCAGTGAAGGGGATGTTTGTGTTCGGGAGCTCGTTGGTGGACAACGGGAACAACAACTTCTTGAGGAACTCGAAAGCGAGGGCAGATTACTCGCCCTACGGGATCGACTTCCCTTGGGGTCCCTCGGGGAGGTTCTCCAATGGCAGAAATCCCGTCGACGTCCTCGGCCAGCTTCTGATGCTTCCTTCGCTGATACCGCCCTTCGCCGACCCCAAGACGAAGGGGAGAAGGATTGTTCATGGCGTCAACTACGCTTCCGGTGGCTCCGGGATCCTCGACCACACCGGTTCTCTGACCGTAAGCCCAACTCCTTCCTCACGTGCATTTGCATGCACAAACACAGCATGTCTCTCGCATTACGTGGTTTAGACTACAGTAGTAAGATTCATACTTGCGATTAATAATCGTCGCAATAGATTACGTCGGGATAAACTATTACTGACGTTTAGATGATGGACTTCTTTTCAAAGATGGATCTCTTGTATGCGCCTTCTCTTTGCCGTACAGAGTGATAGATTGTCCGAATGCAGTGTAACTTTTCGTGTAATCGCTTCTTGTTGCAGGGTGAAGTAATGAACTTGAGCAGCCAAATAGGGAACTTCGAGGACAAAACACTGCCTGAGTTGAAAGCTCAGCTTGGTAACGGCGGAAGCCGACGCGTCGTCGCGAACCGCTTCCTCTCCCAGTATTTATTCGTCGTTGGAACAGGTGGAAATGACTACCTCCTCAATTACTTCGCCGGCGATGCCAAGAACAGCACCACCTTGTCTGAATTCACCCACGACCTGGTTTCCATCTTGTCAAGCCAGCTCAAGGTAAAGCTTTTGTGTCGGTACGATCACATAGCTGCAGTGCGTGGAGTCACATCCTTAGTTACCAAGATCACAAGTCTTGCAGAAGCTCTACGATCTTGGGGCGAGGAAATTCGTGCTGTTCTCGATTCAAGCCATGGGCTGCGTTCCGGTGGTGAGGGCGAACGTGCCCACGGCCAAGGGAGGCTGCGTCGAGGCCATGAACGAGGCCGCCATCCTCTTCAACTCCCACCTGAGACGGCTGGCCGACGCCTCTCGGAGGAGACGTATGCCCGGCTCCTTCGTGGTGTACGTCAACTCGTACAAGATCATCAGAGACATCATCAACAACCCCATTCGAAGCGGTACGTAGTTGCGTGCGTTGCATGCTGCATGCTGTCTGCTGAGGCTTCGTTTCAGGTTTCTCGGAGACGAGCGATGCGTGCTGCGAGCTGTCGTCGGCCATGGAAGACGGGAGAGGGATACTGTGCCGAAGAGGAGGGCGTGCCTGCGGCGATCGCGACTCCCATGTCTTCTTTGACGGGCTTCACCCTACAGATGCTGTCAATATGAGGATAGCAGTGAAGGCTTATGGATCTAATCTGAAGGCCGAAGCTTACCCCATGAACGTAGGACATTTAGCGAGGTTATCTATGTAGAGATGTAGACGAAGGCTTGCTTATTATCAATGGCAATAAAAGTCGTCGAACACATGTTGGATGAGCAAATACATAGTTGTAGCTCATCATCCTTCTATCACGCTTATGTTGTTGAGAGCTTAGATGTTTCAGTTAATTATTTGTGGGTTAATTATATTATTATGTTCTGTAATTAATTATTTTAATATTTTAAAAATAGTTTTAATATTTTAAAAAATAGTTTTAATATTTTAATATTTTTTAATATTTTAAAAATTATATTAATATTTTAAAAAAAATATTTTTAATATTTTAAATTTTTTTAATATTTTAAAAATTATATTAATATTTTTATAATTACGAAAATAAAAACATTGATATCTTAAAAAGTGAAATCTAATTTGATACATGGATCACCTGCCATTTTGATAGGACCAGCCCAACATGACATGATCTTGAATCCAGTGACACCATAGAAGAAGGAAATGACTTCAACCAAGCAAGGAAAGGAACTCATTCAACTGATACTGAGCCAAGCCTCTGCACACCAACATTTCCATGGCTCCTACTCTCACCTGCCCCTCCATCTGCTCTCTTCTTGTTGAGTTCTGCACACATCTCCTCTATCATTGGTTTCCAAATGCGAACTCGAGCATTTATAAACCAATTGGACACCTGCCATCAATGTATCAAAAGATTCAGTGAAGCTTTCGATGTGATACTCCATCGCTTCCTGTTCTAGACTTCAACTTCTTGATCATTTGATACAACCTGTAGTTGTTCGATACAAGATTAGTGCGCATAAGAACTAAAAGTTGTTCTTCATACCTGGCCCTTTGTCAAACCGCTTTTGATCGCGAGCGAATGCTTCTCGTTGTCTTTAGGATACCTGAAATCGTTCAGACAATTCCCGCAAAATCCACTGTAAATTTGTCGGTCATTTACCACAGAAGTCTCTATTAGCATAGTTCAAAAGATTAACTTACGGATGCAGAAAATTCTCAAACAACCATGCTCGGAGGACCGATACCGACTTTTCGGGCAAGCCCCTCTGGGGTCTCCAAGATTGTTGGCCACTCTTCTTCAGCTGCCTCAGAGCCCACTGCTTTTGGATCAGCGATGACTCATAGCTTCCCTCGTTCTCGTTTGCCCATGCTATGCTTGGATGTTGATCGATCGTAAGAATCTGACTAGTAATTCTCTTCCTCAAGCTTTTGTAGAGGGAAGAAACTGTGTGCAGTGCGAAGCGAGCAGGGGTGTTCTCAGATGTGCTTGACTGAGATAGGCAAAGGAATGATGTTACAGCATTCTGGATCTGGTCTAAGCAGTGGTTGTAACTGTGGTCAACCTACAGTTTGAAGCAAAAAGTCAACATGAAAGTGCTTAATTATATGCAAAAAGTGCTCCGCTGGACTTGAAAATGAATCTGAAAAGCTACGGAAAATGAATTTTCTTAGTTGTGTTTTTTGTGTTCTTGCTGTTTTTACAGCATTTGGCTTTCGCTTGCCAAGTTTTTGGGTTTTGATTTCACATCACAAATATCAATAGGATCGAAAGCTCATCCTTTCGCTAAAAAATGATCCTTCTTTCAACTAGATAAACAATCGAACTGAACTAATGAATTTTTACGGTCATCAAATGGATACCAGCAAAAAGGATAAATTTTCATGGTATACAGCTTCATACTCTCATATGACAGAATTGCTATCTGATGTGATGACAGTATTTGCATTCAGATTCATTTTTCTTACACTTAACGATGATGCTCCTAATTTAGTTTCCTTACACATACAAAGAGTTTAGTAACAGCAGATGGCTAGATATTAAAAAATACTGTTTGTGAGAGAATACTATAAATGACAGTGATTCCTAGAAAAGTGTCAAGTGTCATGTAGAGGTTGCAAGCCACAAAATATGATGGGTACAATATTAGGACAAGAACACACACACACATATATATGCACACACCTGAGGAAAAAAATTAAAGTATTCCTCACTACTGTATAAGTTCATAATGAAACTATTGTTAACAAAAATAACAAACTGTCAAGTATAAATTGTCACTTGATTAATCAAAGCCTGCAACTAATGGTGAAACATGCCAAGACTTCGATTCTAATTTTGTTTGTCATGATAACTGCAGTGGCTTGCAAGCTGCAAAACACTAGTGACTGAATCTAAATGATTACCAGAAAATACCAACGAACGATCAAATATGGAAATCCAATAAATAAGTTTCTCTTACCAACTGAAGCAGTGTTAGTAGCTGAGCTTTAGCTTCCTGAGAATATCCACTATCCATACTTCCGAGGGGTTCAGTTTGTCCGAATGAAAGAGGAAGTTCTTCTGAAACAGGTATTGGAATTTCCCTTACACTGGAGCAGCTTGAAGAAAAGGACATCTTTGCCGCACTAGCATTTTCTAGCGCATAAGAGACAGCTTCACCAAGAACTTCTTGGATCGCATTGAGATATTTTGATCGTAACAATACAAGGGAGAAATGAACTGGACCAGAAGAACCAACGTCTGAATAAAACTTCTCGGTGTGAGTAGTAGCCTCCTCTCGTGCCATTCCTGAGCCAAAATCATGCAGGGACTTCCGAAAAGCATGATTGCAGGCTCCAAAATCAGTAGGTAGGTTTGAATTGTCTGCTGACTTAATTCGTTCAGAGCATTGATCAGCAACATTGCCCATGTCTGGAACTGAAGACTGGCCAATTCTCAGACACAGTTCACCATCTGGAGCAGAGTTATGGAAATTCCAACCAGGACCTGAGCTGCCTGTTACATGATAAGATGGATGAACCACACTACATGTTTTACTATAATCAAGTTCAGCAAACAAAGTGGCTTCATTTTTAGATGCAAGGAGACCGGGATCATGTTGTATACCGAAATCACAATGTGGTGAGGCTGAATGTGGCAAATTGTTGGAGATAGGAACTCTCAATTCTTCTGGTGGAAATCCTAAATTGGAGGTTGCATCAACCCTGATGATATTTTCAGGCAAACAAGTGGTGGAAGAGAAAAGGCTAGCAATGGAACATGAGGCATTTCCAGTTTGATTGATATATCTAGAAGATGGAACATCACTGCATTCCATGGAATCATTTCTTATCAAGTGTATGTCATCCGTAACTTCTTGCAATATTTGCCTATGGCTGTTGTGATGTGGTAAGCTCGATTGCACAAGAGAATCTGAAAGCACATATGATGATGCTGAATCAAGAATCATAAGGTTATGATTAAAGACAGATAGTGAGCCATTGAAGATATCACTCTCCATTCCGGCACACGCTGCTGAAATTCCAGTCTCAAGAAGCTACTGACGGACTACTTGATACGTAGAACTTAGCAGATTAAGATTCAGGTGCCATCTTCATATGACGTGAGGATGCTTTATCTTGTCGATTAGCCTTATTACTTCCTACATCTGTAAATCCAAGCAAGACAACCGTCAAAACACAGTTTTTTCAATGTACGGAAGCAATGCATGTAAAATGTAGTCTCCAAAGCCAGTAACAAAAGGGTACATTTCTGAGTTATAAACATCTGCAAATTTCTGGGTTATTTAGTGTGCCTTTACTCATTCCCATTTGTCTTCTGCTTATGGACTTGCATGCTTCACCTGACTGGAGTATCTCCTAAGGACTCATACAGAGTTCCATGCTGCATTCCTTCCAAAAGAAGAGGAATAATATGATTAATTACATACAAAGACAATACTAGATCTCTGCAATAAAATATCTAACTGATATGGTGGAACAGAGCATGTCATATTAGATCTATACACGCATTACAACATACTAAATGGATGGTAACTTAATAGGCAGATTTAAAGAAAAGGCTGATTTATGTGCTTCACCATGGCAGCAGGAAACAATATGAAACTCCATCAACATGTAGTCAAAAAATGTATTAAAATGGAAAAGAAGAAGAAGAAGAAGAAGAAGAAGAAGAAGAAGAAGAAGAAGATCCATGTAATTACAATATGCTATATGCAACAAGGAGAAAAACAAGATGCAAAATAGGTTCACTGCTATTGATTCCGAGCAGAGCAATTTCTGTATCTCATTATACATATCAAGTAGTGTCCTCACTCTTAATCAAATGACCCAAAGAGTGCTAAACCAACTCTGGCTCAGAGCAGACAACATCTAAAAGCAAACTGATGAAGCCATATTGCATATGATATATTTCTAGATTCTGAACAGTATAAGAAGTCAAGAGCCTCTAACATCAAGAATGCAACACAAAGGAAAGTTTGATCAAGGAAATGGAGAGAATTCAAATGCACAACAATAGAAATGTTGCTCCATTCACACACAAGAGGAAATCAAGCCTTACATTGAAGACTTGCCCAGACTAAAAAAAGAAGATTTTATAGACAGAATAAACAGTAAAAGATTCCTAATGATCAACCTCCTCTCTTGACTGTTCTTGAGTGCTCAGACAATAAGCTACCAAAAAGAATAACCATCTGTTGTCTCCTCTCTGGATGATGAGCTGAGGCCAGAGAGCCTTGGAGATGAGAACCAAATCAGGCTGGATATGTCCCCACTGTTCTTCCAAGACCACAGGAAGAAATCACTTCTTCAGCCATAAAAAGGAAGTGGCTGATTTCCTTATAGGATGCCTACAAGAGATGGATATCTCAGTGCTCAAAGAACAAGCAAGAAAACAATGTAGTACATAGTTCAGCAGTCATCCATCCCTTTCAGAACCACTTACAGCAGATCTTTGTTTTCAAGTGATCAGAGAATTGGGTTTTCATGAAGCACAACATCCAAAATAGTGGGCCCCATGGCTGAAGAAGAATTATGCCTTCCCCCTACCCAAAGAGCATATGGCCAAATGCTATAGTTTCACCAAGTGTGATTCTCCATGATTTGCTCAGAGTGAGTCTTGCCTTGGCAGCACAAGCCCAAATGACAGGAACATGGGACTAGAAGAAGGTCATGGATGATCAAAAGACAAAGCAAAGCGTGAGAGGTCAGTTCCTTCAGATCAAAACAATGATATCTTAATATCTTGAGAGGATGGTTTTCTACAAAACTCTAGCAGAAAGCTAATCAATCAGTCCTCCTATTCATTCTCACATGGTAAAAGAAATCAGCAGAACCTTTTCACCTTGCTATACTTTTACCCACCACAACCAGTTGCGAATCCTGGTGGCTTTCTTCCTCCTTTCACCCTGCTCAAAAAAATCCAGCCAGAAGTCAAAGAGAAGTCTTTTCTTTCTTCATTTACCTTGGCCCATGGAAGGGTCCCATGAGCTTTAGCAGAGAAGGTACATCTGGGTCATCAATCAAGCCCATGCAATGGACAAAACAAGGCAAAGAAAAGAAGACAGAAGCAGAGCAGCCTCATTTATTCTCTCGCTTTCTTCACCCTCTCCCTCTGCAACTCTCTGCGACAACAGTGGTAACCAAATTATGTGAAACCACTGTGCAGGTTCTGTGTCCTCGGGAGCTGTTCTCCGCTACCTGATCAAGGAGTACGCATTTGAGCCCGCACTTTTCTCTTGAAGACGGCATTACTTGTGATGATGGTCAGAGCGCGCGCGCGAGTGAGAGAGAGAGAGAAAAGCTGCTTTCTTGGATACAGTAGAAGAAATGCAGGTAAAAGGATGGAAGAGGACAAGATGATGTCAGCCAAATCCAATGGAGAGATTTCTGACAGATTTATTGTGTCGGAAAATAGCAGTTATTTTACCTGACTCAAGTTACCTGCGTCTCCCTCCGCCCGGAAGATAAGATAAAGGAGCGGTCTTTAGCGCTTGAGAAGGAAGAAGAGGTTGACACACGAGAAGAAACCAACACTCCCTTGAATGCGATCATCCAAAACCGAGAAGAAAAAAAGGCAAACTGTTCCCTCTCCTATGAGATTTAGATGTGCCGAAATAGTTACTATAACAATAATTCAGTCGAGTCAGTCATACAGCAATGTTTGATCCTTCTTTGAGATCGACCATTTCTTCAATAATAATCGAGTCAAGACAGTCATTTTATCCTTCGATATCCACTCTGACCTTTCACATTCAGTTCCTCTGCTTTCTCTCAATTTTAGAACCCTAAGCCTAAATTATTCCGTTATTGATGGAGGATTAAAAGTCTCTCGAGGCCAGCTAGAAAAGTTGGTAAATGCTTTGCATTACATGTTTGATGAGCTTTGCTAAGTCTGCAAGTAAAGGAAGTTGTTTCTGAATCTTAAACCCTAATCACTCCAGTAGAACAATCTTACTGTGAGCCAGGAAGGCAATGAAGCACTTTGCATAGGTAATTTGGTCTCTCTCTCTCTCTCTCTCTCTCTCTCTCTCTCTCTAGAAAGGGACAAAGCAGAAACGAAATGAATGGTTAAATGACAATGCAAGAACAATAACACATTAGAAGAAAACATTGTTTCTCATATATCGCGGATTGGCCTTCTCTGTTCCGCTTCTTCCTCGAGGAGAAAACCCGACCACCCTCCATCATTCCCCCATCCAAGCAATTAATACTCCATGGATAGACTTTCCAAAACCACATCCAGTAGCATTCCTTTGATCTAATAGTATCTCCAGCATTTCATCTTCTTGGTTTTGTTGATAACAACCTGATGAAAGAAAAAAATTAAAAAAGAAGGGCATCGAAAGCCGAAAAGGCATCACATCATTGTTTTCATATAAGCTTTGCTCATATTAGTATACAGAAACTACAAGCAAGTTCATACATTACCAAGCACGCATGTCTCACCGTAAAACGACATTCAACAAAGCTCCAGCAAGCAGACACATTCGATGTGAGGAGTATGTGGGAACATGTCAACCGGCTGAACACTTCTCAAATGGTAGCATCCTCTTATGCCTTTCTCAGCCTGCACAAACTCAATACAAATTGGCAAATTTGTATTAATATTCAAATAAAAACATAAAACTAATCACTTCGAGTATTTAATGTACATGACCGATACGCACAAGACCATGACAGAGGTAATCGAGATCACGTGCCAATGTAGATGGGTTACACGAGACATAGACGATACGAGGTGCCTGAAGTTCCAGTAGATATTTGATTAACTTCATATGCATGCCCGGACGGTTAGGATCTGCAGAATTTTATGAGATTATTGCATATTAATACAAAATATAACAAATCACTTGATAGAACGAACTCAGAAATGTCACATGGTCAAAAAGCTGATAAGACTAACTGGGCTTTTTTCTCCTCTCACTAAAGACATAGAGCACATTCCTTAAATTTTCAGGCCTTAATGCATTACATTCAAATTGTATATCATGATCAAATTCCATTATTTGGTATATTTCCATGTATGATACCTGGAACCAAAGTTTAAAACATGCAAACCAAGCATATGCCAATATTTTGGCAAATTTATATATACAATGGCAGACCTCGATGGAAAGAAAGTTGCCCATGTTTGAAGTCCCATGAAAATAAACAAAGAAAACATTAAGGCATTAAAGAAAAAATCAAGACAACAAAACCCGAAAAAAGATCCACCCAGAAAATAGATGGAAGCAGCTTCAGAAAGAGCAAAACCTGAAATGACAATGTCAGGTTTTGGAAAATCATTCCCAAAGCTATCGTTGATTTTATTAAGATCTCCTTGAACAAATGTTGCATTATGAATGCCATTAAATTTAGCATTTCTTCGTGCATCTGAGATTGCTTCAGCCACTACTTCATACCCGTAAACATGTTTAACCCTGAAAACAAACAAAGAATCTCTCCTCAAGATTTTTACTACAGGAAAAACACATCCAAAGTGCATGTCAAACTAACACTAAAAACTATCGGTAAAAAGTAGTTCATTTTGCAGAGGCTCATAAATTTACAATATTTACCTTCTTGCAAGGCTCAAACCAATGCTTCCTGTTCCACAAAACAGATCAAGCACAATTTCTGAGCTATCTCCTCTAAGTCCAGCACAGTCCTCAATAAGCTTGTACAAGACTTCTGCCTGAAAACAATATAATTTTTTTTAATTTACTTATGATTTAAAACATGAAATGTGAAGTTCCCCCATTCTTAACAGGGAAAGCTGAAGAAGAGCCACTTTCCTATTGCCAATAAATTTTTGTTTTCCCCAAGAAATCAATGTAGCTAATGATCAATCATTTTGTCTTGTAGCAACATAGAAAATAATCAAACAAACTGTAGGACATCTTTGGCTGTCTTTGGTTGATGCCATCATTGGCAGGTTGCAGAACAGTTTAAAAATTGCCATTTCAACAATAAACATAAGAAATTTCAGTTTTGAAGCTTCTTGATCTAAAAGCTTTCTCTACAATCTTCTACACAACCATAAAAACCTAAAAAGCAAAACTGCACTGGCAATGATATTGTAGCAGGATTGAGAGAGAGTCACTGAGTCACTGATTGTTATCACCTGGTTAAATGGGAGAGATCATCATGCTGAGGTTCCAGAACCAGACCTGGCTGATGTCCATCAGGCACTTAACTTCTAGGTGGTAAGTGTAACCTGTCTATAGCCATGGGACATGAATTATGCTACTAATTGGGTTGTGCATGAATGTTCTCTGCAAAGATGTTTAGGAAAATTAACCGACCACTGTGTGCAGATTAGCTCGGATTTTTCTAGCCAGGCTTTCTCTAGCATGACGTAAGGTTTCTTCTTACCAAAATAAAGAGAGACCTTAAAATAAAAAAATTTCCAAAATTTTTAATAGCTCATGACTGTCATGTCAAGAACAAAGTGCGATCAAATATTTTGGACTGTATGCATATTTAATTGCAGTATCATCAACACTAGAAACAAAGCAGGTCGTGGATGTTCTAGAGAACTACAAAGTTAGAAGAGTAAAAAACAAATATAGAGACCAAACAACCAAACTATTATCAACCAATAAGACTGATGCCTGTCACGCCCCAATTATGGTACTGAACACAAGAGGCTCCCAACACAAATACAAGAAAGCTATGCTGGATCAAATAGTAAGAATGGAATGGAAATAACATGACATGGGCTTTGCAAAAAGTTATTACAATGTGAAGCTGAAGCGGGAACACAGTAGTGTGTGAAATTGCATTGCAAACCTGATGAGAATTGGTCTGGAAGAAAGAATTCGCTGATATCTGAAATGTAAGTCCTCTTAACATCTCTGTGATAGTTGATTTACCGTATAGAGTATATTCTTCTTCCCCTACAGATGTATTACCAACTGATGTGTTTACATTATTCATGACACTGACCTGTCAACGTCCAGAGGAGACAATGTACATTTTAATCATACGGTAGGGAAAACCTTAATGAAGGAAAAGCACATTGATAAAGTTGTCAGAATATTGTGCTAGCAGATTACTTGCCATCCAAACATTCATTGCAGGGGGGAATAAATAACAACAGACTAGTGATTAAGAATTATAAAGATCAAGAGTTTCCTTGTGATTAATTTGTTGGCATTAAATCAGTAATCTATGTGACTGTTAAAGAAACTACAGAAGCAAAATGCATCTTTTCTTTACTCTCAATTATTTATAATCATATTTTTAACTTGAATAGCTCATTTCACACACACTAGCACAAAAACCTCAAAAATTAAATAACAAAGAACTGGACAAAACAAATTTCCACTTGTTCTCACAAAACGCTTGATATGGGGGTTCTCTAAAAGGTTCTTTCAATAGCTCTATCTTAAAACATTCTCAACCGCATCTGTTCTTCTAATCTCATGTTCCAAGTGGTTCTACCATGTTCAGGCAATTATAGGGCAGTTGTAGGGAAAAATTGAAAATTATGCAAGGTCTAGAAAAGGTTAATGTCGTAGCAAGCAAAGTGACAGTTCAAAATGCTGTCGAAAAAAAACTGCACTTGTGCCACATTGTTGTTGGCTTGTTGTAAACCTAGCATGTGTTAAAGAAAATGTGCATTCATACTTCTATAATGTTGATGGCAGTGATCTCACAGACTACACATGTTGGTCATCAGTTATCAATTGTATGACTTCTAGCCAAGGATTGGAATATCGTACCGTACCGAAGTTTCGATATTCTCTCGGTATACATACATACATACATACATACATAATGAGTTGTCCGCGTACCGTTTTACTGTCAGACCAGTACGTACTATCCGTACCGGGCGGTATCATTTGAAACTGTATACCTTGCTTCTAGCCATTAAAATAATTCAATAAATAATCTCTTTTTCTTCGAATAAAGTTTTAAATCATAAACTCTCTTTAATGGAGAAAAAAACAATGGAAGAATAATGATAGCACAGTAATGTTAATGATGCCCACGATAGAATCCCGTGTTAGAAATGATCTACATAGAAGTTACGACTAATTCAACACACTTATTATGTTCTCTTCCCCATGTTAAGTAGTTAAATAAGCACAACATTTTGAAGTCCTTAAACAAGTAATGTTTCAGAAACTGGATATAGCTCCAAAGAAGAACAAATAAATTGTATGCTTATTTACTAATGAAGCATGAACAGCTATTTTGTACAAACCACTTCAGGGATAGCTGAAATTTTGTCAACGAGAGGCTTCAACAGATTAGGTTCATAGCTTGACGTGACAAAGTTAACCATAACCTCCGGATTGCTAGTATTGACATCTCTGACAAAAAATATGAAATTAAGTGCAAGTTTTAGAAACTTTTGGCACAACACAATAAGTTTAGACCAAATGCAACCAATTACAGTATGCAATAAGTAGACGTGAAAGATACATTAGCACAAGAAAAGGGAAGAATACAAACCATGGAAAGCTAATAAGAAAAAGGAAAGACGGAACAAAAGGGTGGTCAGCGTTAAAGAGTATCATATTACAACATAGGATGCAACTTATAGTTTCCAAGCTAAGTAATTCCAAAGTAGGCTATTCTGTCAAAAGAAAAATTCTGTCAGAGCAGATTCCAAAATGATGAACCGTATGTGCATATATATGCAACAACATCCCAAAATGATGAACCATGACCAAGAAAACAGTCAAAGAAGATTCAGCAGCTACAACAGGCATTTAAATTATATGAAACTTGGTAATGAAATTACTAGTCTAAGAAAATCGTACCTTCCAGCCCTTAGCATCAGATGTTTAAGAAATCCAGCATGGGTGTGAACATTATACGGGGAAAGGCCTAGCTTTGGATCTCTCCAACTATCTTGAATAACTGCAAGAACCTATAAAATTAGAGAATAATCAACTAAATTTATAATTCAAGCATACAAATGAATAACAAAGAATGAATTTCTCTCAATAGAATCACTAACAAGAAAAAATGTCACTGCATGAAAACAAGAGAAACATGGTTATCCTAAGGTAGCAAGCTTCAAAATTTTAGAGAGACATTCTGTAGTAGCTATATTCAAACTATAATGAGGGAAAATATTCATCCTATCAAACATGATGTTTCATCCAGATTTAGAGCAGAATACAATGGCTGAAGCTAATATTACAAAGCATTACCTTATTGGTTGCTTCAGTCTGCAATAAACATTTGTCGACATGAAGGACCTTATCGAAGAAACCTGGGGCATGCAATCCCAACGCATAACCGATCTCCATCTGTTCCTCCTTCCCGCTTGATACATCTCTTGGCATCCATCTTTCAGCACCAAACGAGAATTCCATCTGTGAAGCAGCAGAAAGATTGCACCTTTACTAAAAGAAACAGGCCAAAACTTGGTTTTTTAGCTCAAACCACGCTAACCTTGTTCCTGTAGTGGAATTGCAAATCACACGGTACGATGGGCTTAAAGATGGCAACAAAGTCAGGATCTTTGTCCGAGAATCTCCCGACGTGAACGATCAAATCCCTAACTTGCTGCTCCTTGGCTCGAACCTGTGCCTCGTATGAGAGATTCTGGGTCTTACATCCTCCGCAGTAGGAAGCATACTGGCACGGAGCTTCCACCGCGTCCCTGTGCGGAGTAATCGTCTTCAATTTCGTCGCCTGTAGTCTCACCGAAACGACTAATCAAGCACCGAGGAAAGAGATCGAAATAGTGATGAGGCAAGGGGAAGGGATTACGACCTCGGCGTAGCTGCCTTTCTTGCGAGTGACGCGGCCGAGAAAGCGCTCGCCGGGGAGGGCGCGGTCGCACATGACGACGAAGGCGGTGTCCGCGACCTTGCAGACGCCCTTCCCCTTGAAGGCGAGGGACTCGCAGACGAGTTCCAGAGTCTGACCACGCTTCGGGAAGAAAGAGCGAGGAGTGGGAGCCACGGCAGCAGCGGAGTCGGAGCGCGGCGGAGCTGCGAGGGCGTCGATTTCAGGGGGAGGAGGGAGGGGAGAGGCTGAAGGGGAGGGGGAGGAGGCGGAGGCGCGGACGGCGTGGAGCCATGGGCGGGCGTTGAGGCGGCGAGCGCCGCAGGAGGGGAACGCCGCAACCGCCATGGACGCAGGACGAGCTTAGCGGGGGACGGCTTTCTATGGTGTCATCTATCTATTAGATTACGCCTCCTGTGAAATAGGGTGAGTAGCGACGATCGATTTAATTGATTTGCTTACCCGCCATCGACTAAACGTTCATCTACCTGTCCGTTGAGGCTAACTCTTACGAGAGCCTCTCCGGGCCCACATAGCTGTCCAACATCAAGACAGGTAAACTTCTAGGTATGGATTGAGATTCCTAAATACTTCTCGTACTGGTTACTGACCACCGTTCTTACCAATCCTCTTTATCTGGGACCCGCCATATGGGTCACATACTATTCCTCCAATACAGACGAAGGTAGGGAAACATGTAGCCAGAAATAAACAGAAATTATTCTTGTGACTTGAACCTATTCATGATGGTAAATCCTTGAGAGAACATGCGCTCAAGATTCAAAAGAGTACATGGAGGAGGAGGAATCAAACAACTATTAGGCCAAAATGTGGATTGTTGTTAAAGGATTACTTTAATCTTGCTAAGATTATATTAACAGCGAGATTTAAACTAAAATTTGCTTAGTACATCCTTTTTCTTTGTGTTAGATCTTTCCCTTCATGTGCATAAACAAGATGGCCTCAGTTTGATACTAATTCTCTTTGTTGTGGTGATACTTCATGAGTGTAGGATTGAAGTTTCTCTTGAATGCCCTATGTTTCAGACTGCAAATTAACCAAAGAAACACTTATCCAAGGGAAGATGGTAAAGTTGTGTAAGAGGAGGAGACCTCCAAACCAATCTGCCAAAACCAGAGAAAATTCCTGCATGTAGGAAGATCACTGACTCATTCTTGTATGCATGAGAACTCCAAATACATTTAGCAAAACTAAGGCAGAGAGAATGGTCAACATCATAATTCTAAAGAGGAACATGATGGAGGACCTCATTGGCAAGCAGGGGTAAAGATCAGATAATAATTTAAGGAATGCAAATTTGCAGTTAGACTGCATTTAATTTTAGATATCCATACTCTAAACCACCAAATGATGTTAAAGAATTGATGGAAACAAAGTAATCAGAAATAGATATTTGCATTGCAGAACTGAAGTTTTTCACATTATCATTATATGTTTGCCATGTTACCACACAGCACATTATACAGAAGGGATTTCTTTGCTTCCAAAGGGGGGAAATATCAAAGGATACCATCATTTGATCTACATATGGTAGATAAGATATCTCTTTCAAATTTGCCATTACCATATCGGTTGCTCGATATATCAAACTAATTCAAATAGCTACAAACTCAGAGTAGCAACTTAAAGAGCAACCCTTGTTCACTTCTGAGCATTTTCTGATACTACACAACCGAGCTGCACGAAGAAATTCCAGCTAAAGGATGCCTGTAATTGGACTTACAAGTACTGTAAATGATCTTTGCCAACAACCAACAGTTGTATTATATGTCTCGATCTACTTTATGGCTTGTGCAATTGTATCTTAGGACTGGATATCGAATCCACCATAAATTTCCCACTTGGTTAATAGTCAGGGAGGAGAACTTGCCAGTGTTCCTTATCATGTTCTTTTCTTGATTATATCTTGGCTCATGACGAAATTTTCTGCTCAGGTTTTATCAGTTGGGAGATTTGGATGCGAAACCGGGAAATTGCTGGTGCAAGTGGCCAATTCACACCACTCTGCAGCTCTTGTGGACATTATTCAGAGAACTCGATATTCCATCATTCTTCTTAGTTGTATCATATAAAGCTTATATAGCTCAACCATCACAGATTCTTGTGATCTATGTCACTAGCATAGCTGATGCTGTCGGTCCAAATGCTGTCATCACTGCAACTGCCATTGCTTCTCCAGGTCTTGTTCATGGTGTCATTGCTTTAGCTATTCAAGTCACTGTTATTTTTCCAAGTGTTGTCCTAGGAATCATCATTGCTAGTGTCAGCTGAAGCCTGTGTCAAATGGAACTCAATCTGCAATCTCTGGTGGAGCGCTGTGTTGGTCTCGATTCCCTTCTTTTCCAACATCAACTCCTCCTGCAATGGTATAGCAGCTAAGAATCTATTTATGAACTCTCTGCAACATTCCTTCCCTCTGCAAATGAGCTCATCACAATCATCAATTCCCTTGTTTTCTTGGTGCCTGAACATCTCTGTGGAGTCATCAAACCTGAGGATATAGGCTTTCTTGCATCCTTCATACAATCTCTCTCCCAGTGTATCCATGACATAGTATGCATTTGCTTCCATCTTCAGCATGAAGAAGTGATCATTCCAACTTACGACGAAGACCTTACTGTCTCCTACGATGTCACTAGTTATCTCATGCCATATGTCATCAAATGACATTGCCCCATGCAACGATTTGAAGCACTCTGGTTGAAAGAACCCTATGAAAGATTTGTCAGGTAATACTGATACAGGCCTCAATTTTGCTTCCAGTATCGTATCAAGGTCGAAGTGCTTGTCAGGAAACCGATCGATGTATGATGTGTTGTTGCATAGCTTTTGCCACTCCGACGAGCCTTCTCTGATGAGTGTATCAAACTCTGATCTCGTTGGTGTATTCAGCTCATTGTTATGGAGTGCGTTTGCGAGTACCGCAACTATGGCTGTGCAAGCACTCTCTCCACCTGCACTAGGATCTCGCTGATCGATGGAAGCAAAGAAGGTCTGGATTTTGATCTTTGTTTGCTTGTCCCTGCTGATGAATTCTTTGCTTCTCCAACTGCCTTTTGGATCATCATCTTCATCAGAATCTAGTGATTCCTTCTGCAAAGACAATAAAGGATCAAGATCCATGGATACCTCCGACATCAAAATCTGTAAAAGAAGATGCTTAGCTGAAATTAACTCACCTTTTTGTGCTCAGAAGAAATGTCTTCACAAGAGGACATCTTCCTTCTTTCTCCCTCCTTGAGATCAGGAGTTTTGCAGCTCCTCTTGCTCCAGCAGAACCAGCCCTTCGAAGTTGATTCTGAGCCTGGACTCGATTGGCAACTGTTGCTGCTGATGCTGCTGCTGGCATTGTGATTCTGAACACTGTTGTCTTCCAAGATATCTTCTTCATCTTGTAGCCGAAAAAGGTGATCAAGAACCATATTTTCTTTGTCAAAGCTTCCTGGATCATCAGATTTCACTTGTTGGCTGCCCTTCTGCTCTAACATAATCCTGTCTTCACCGAGTGATGCTCCCTTTGTTACTCCAGAAGTCCTTACCTCTGTGAAGCTGACAGTGACCTGAACCATTCACATAATTAGCAGATCCATTGCATGATGTTGTGAGAAACTGAAAATTCTAGCAAACTTTCTTGAATTTTTTTGGCTGAACATTTTTTCCTCCATGTTACTGATGTACTCATTGCATTGACAATGAAACTGCTAATAATTTAGTTTCAAAAACTCCCCTAATAAATGTGTGGCTTCAGACACTGAAATTGATGCACATGTATTTCTACACTGTGTACACTCAATCAATGTCATGCAGCATTATCCAGACATATTCATAGATAAGAAGATGAGGCACTTGCATTGTTGAAGTTACCATGTCATGAAGCTTTGGCCAAAGTAAAAAACATTATTCTCTTTTTGAATGGCACACTAAACAACAAGCACAAGCCATTATTAGCTTTCTTTGAACAAAAGAAGAGAAGAAGGCAAAAAAAAGGGGTTTTTTACATGTAGCACTCCGTAGCTTGTCGATCCTTCTTTCCTTAAGGTGATAGGAAGCTGCTGATTGAATCCCTTTTCTGCTCCTCCACTCTCTTTATGGGATTGGGATTCCTTAGCCCATTCAGCTAAGCTTGCATTTGTCGTCCCTATCCTTTCCAATTTGTTCGTCTTGCTTCCTTCCTCTTCACCAGATCCCTGCAGAATTAAACCTAGTCATTGAGAAGCAGATCGACAGAAAGACTACAGCTTTCAAACTGGTTTGACAGAGTAACTGGAATCTGCAAACCTGTTTTCACTGTTTTCTGTACTCATTGCAATATAAAATTCTAGAGATATTACTAACGCTAAAAACAAGGAATTCTATCAAACAAATGGCCGGCATCAAATCCTGCCGAAAATTTTGATGCAAGGTGCGTTGACATCGGTAATTCCTGTCATGGTGAAGATTGAAAAGATCTGACCTCATTTCCTATCCGTAATCCACAGTCAAATCTCTGCAAGAAAACCTGAAGACCATCTTCATAGCGTCAAAGACACAGAGACGATGAGGAACTCACGTATAGGACGGAAAAGGAAACATCATGGGCAGGACCCGAGACCGAATTCGGGTCACAAAGCCGACACACGGTCTCGAACCGGCTCGACTCGTCATCGTCGTCCCACCGGACCGCCCAGCCATCCTCCACCGGCCTACGGGAAGACACGCTTCGGGCCGGCCTCTTCCTTCCCACGAGATACGAAAGCGCCCCGACTTTGGGCGGCCGCCGCCAGCCGACCTCGACCGCCGCCACCCCCGGTAGCGGCAGGAGCCCCTCGAGACCCACCACCTTCACGGTGACCTTGCACTTCCTCCTCCTCTTCGCCTTCGTCGGCGCCGTAGGTGCCCAAGGGGAGAAGCTCATCACCTTCTTGACCACCATCTCTCCTCGGGCCCCCCTCTCTACCTTCCTTCCTTCTCTCCTCTCCTCCTTTCTTGAGCGACCAACCTGTCTTTAATGGTGGAGGGAAGGACAAGGCATCGTCCAGCGATTAGCGCGATCGCTCATTTGATATTAATAGAATCCGCAGCCGGGAGGTGGAGGACTCCTCCTCCGCCTCCATTTCCTTACGTAGGCGGAGATACCGTGTCAACGCAGGTGGTTTCCTTCCACGTGCGGTACGCGTGCGCTGCACGGTTACGTGGATCCGAGCCTGCGGCTTATGGGATTCGTATCTCGTCGTTGATCCGTGATTGGATTGCGGTGGGGCCGAATACGTATGCATCCGTATACACCGCGAGTGGTGTATACGGATGGATCCTTTAATCTGATATTGTTTATATATTTTATTATGAATCTTCGCTAACATGGCGAGGTTAGATAAGGTTAATATCCACTATATCAATTAGATTTGAGTAAGCTAGATACTGATCATATCTAATTAGTTCGGATATTCACATCTACACGATCCGTAAGATACGGATTTAAGTATCAGATTTTATTTTTGATTCATCATTTTCCCAAAAAAAAAAAAGAGAGAGTAAGTATTTGTTAATAAATCTCTCATCTGGTACATTCTTTTATTTTTCCCTCTCTATTTTTTCTCCTTTTTCCACCCAAGAAAGGGACCTGCGCCAAGTCAACCATACTCCAATTGAGTCTGCCGTAAAAGTCAACGATGCTTTATTTTTTAAAAGTCAACGCTAATTTAATTGAATTTTCTGTAAAAAGGTCGACGATATTAAATTGGATGCCATCATCGTCGTCACCTCAATTGCTATCGCAACTCGCTCTTCTCTTCCCCTCTCTTCCTCTCTCATCAAAAGGTGGACGACAAGCGATGACAAAAGGAGGGATCCTAGCCGTCGATGGGGGCGAAGGCCATCGGCCAATCACCTCCTTCCAACAAGGCAGTGCCACCACGACGGGTTTGTCTCCGCCCTATGACGTCGTGCGCGTCGATGTGGCGTCCACTGATGCCACGTCGGAGGAGGAGGAGGAGCTTCCACGTGTTAAGAAGTCGCATCCGGTATCGGTACACGTGCGCACGTGTCGGATCGTCTCGGGCCAGATGTCGCCGCCACGACATCCGGTTCGGTTGAACGGCCAGCCTCCTGAACCCTGTCCGGGAGCGTACTCGAAAAAGGGCCTCGACGTCCAGCTCACCCAATGCGGAATTATCTCTAACCCTGTTCACAAAACCCAATTTAGTTTCCTAATTAAGCTTAATTGGAGGGAGTTCCTTGACTCGAACGATTTAAAGGCGGAAGGGATCCCCCCAAAACTTAACCGACGTTCGCGTTCCAGCGCTCGAGGGTGCGAGAGCACCCTCATCCTTGGATCCCTTCCCCTCCACCTGCCTCTCGCCATTGTGGGATCCGGGGAAGCTTGGGAGGGCGTTCGATCCTTTCCCTCCCCTTCCTCCCCCACAGATCGATTCCCGAGGGTTTGCGCTCGATCCCCTGGACCCCTGTCTCTCCTTTTCCGTCTAGCTGATTCCGTTTGATCCGATCGGTCTTCTTGAGCTTTTCTCGGAGATCGCGCGCGGTTTGGATCGCATCCTTTTTTTGGGTCTTGATCTTTTATCTGGGAAGCTAATTATCTGGAACTTCTTTTAGCTTCCGTTCGAGCTTCCAAATTCGGTTCTTTTGTTCTGTTATTTTCTCTTCGATTACTTGGTCTCCCGTGAATTCTATCGTATGCGAAGAATTTGGATTTAGGTTTTCGTGGAAAATTTGACATGATTCTCGGCAATTGCTTCGTTCATTGTTGGAGATTTTTTTTTTTTTGATCCTGTTCATATTAAAGATTGCATTTTTAGATGATGGGGAATAGTTGTGTTTGATCCGAGCAGAAGAAACCCTAGCCAGAGAAAGATGGCCCCGGGACGAAGGAGACACGAGCGACTCCGGTGGAGCAAGCTCTACACTTTTTCTTGTCTCCGTCCCACCGTGGTGACGGACGATGAGCAACCCCATCCCCTGCAAGGCCCCGGATACTCGCGGCTCGTCCATTGCAACCAGCCCGGATTACACCAAAAGAAACCGCTCAATTACTGCACCAACCACATCAGCACAACCAAGTACAACATCATCACCTTCCTCCCCAAGGCCATCTTCGAGCAGTTCCGCCGCGTCGCCAACCTATACTTCCTTCTCACCGCATCACTCTCTCTCACCCCCGTGACGCCCTTCTCTGCGGTGAGCATGATTGCGCCATTGGCATTCGTCGTCGGTCTCAGTATGGCTAAGGAGGCAATGGAAGATTGGAACAGGTTTATGCAGGACATGAAGGTTAACAGCCGTAAGGTCAGCGTCCACAGTGGAGAGGGGCGCTTCGGCTACAAACATTGGCAGGAGATTCGTGTTGGAGATGTTGTGAGGGTGGAAAAGGACCAATTCTTCCCCGCCGACTTGCTTCTACTGTCATCGAGCTATGACGACGGCATATGCTATGTCGAGACCATGAATTTGGATGGAGAAACAAATCTGAAGGTTAAAAGATCTTTGGAGGTGACTTTGCCATTGGATGGTGACGCCAGTTTCAGACATTTCACAAGCACCATTCGATGCGAAGACCCCAATCCCAATCTCTACACTTTCGTGGGTAACTTTGAGTATGAGAAGAAGGTTTACGCTCTTGACCCAGGTCAGATTCTCCTCAGGGACTCCAAGCTTCGGAACACTACATATGTCTACGGAGTGGCTATCTTCACCGGCCATGACAGCAAAGTGATGCAGAATTCTACGGAATCACCATCTAAGAGAAGCAGAATTGAGAAGAAAATGGATAATATTATATACGTTCTCTTCACCTTTCTCATACTGATTTCATTGATCAGCTCAATCGGCTATGGTGTGATCACAAAGTTCGGGATGCCACAATCGTGGTATTTGCAACCGAGCGAGACCTCATACGTTTATGATGCTTCGAAGCCTGTTTTATCTGGCTTCTACCATCTTCTTACTGCTCTTATTCTTTATGGATACCTTATTCCCATTTCACTATATGTTTCGATCGAGGTTGTCAAGGTCTTGCAAGCAACCTTCATCAACCAAGATATTCACATGCGTGATGAGGAGACAGGAAATTCAGCGCAAGCACGGACATCAAATTTGAATGAGGAGCTCGGGCAGGTTGATACGATATTATCAGACAAAACTGGCACCTTGACTTGCAACCAGATGGATTTTTTGAGGTGTTCCATTGCTGGAGTTCCATATGGTGTGGTTTCTAGTGAAGTGGAGATCGCAGCTGTGAAGCAGATAGCATCGGAAGTTTCTGGCACAATCGAGCAGCATAGCAGCACTCAAGATTTCTGGGAGGATAGTGGGGATGGCTTTGGCTCACCAGAGTGTGAACTGGAAGTCGGGATTGCTCGCATGGTTGGGAAGCCACAAAGGCCTACAACCAAGGGGTTCAGCTTCGAGGACGACCGCCTCATTCATGGGAATTGGGCAAAAGAGCCTAATGCCGGTACCATTCTTGTGTTCTTGAGGGTACTTGCTCTCTGTCATACAGCAATTGCGGAGGCAAATGAAAAAACTGGTGCTTTTACATACGAAGCAGAATCACCGGATGAAGCAGCTTTCCTTGTTGCAGCCAGAGAATTTGGGTTTGAATTTTGTAAGAGGACTCAATCAAGTGTCTTCATCAGGGAGAGATACTCTGCTTCGGAGGATCCTGTAGAAAGGTCATAGCTGAATCTGAATGGTGTCATCGGTTTGTTGTTTGTCTTTGTGGTGATTGTTGCAATCTAAACCAGTGAGTTCTTCTTCTCTTTTTTCTATTTTGATTTAGGGAGTTCAAGGTTCTGAATATTTTGGAGTTCAACAGCAAAAGGAAGAGAATGTCAGTGATTTTGCGTGATGAGACCGGGCAGATTATTCTTTTATGCAAAGGTGCTGACAGGTACTTATCTTCACCACTGTTTCTAGTTCAGTTATCTTCTTGTGTTACAAAAACATCTCACGCATATGGTTGTGCATATAGGATCTGTCTTCTCCACATCGTAGATTTGATTTTGTGCCTAAAGTAGCTTCTTTTTTTTTTTTCCCATGAACCAAACAGCATCATTTTGGATAGGCTGTCAAAAAATGGAAGAATATATGAGATCGAGACGATTAAACATCTAAATGAATATGGGGAGGCAGGCCTGCGGACTTTAGCACTGGCTTATCGTGTTCTTGATGAATCTGAGTACTCTGCTTGGAACACAGAGTTCCTTAAAGCCAAAACTACCATTGGGCATCACAGAGAAGCTGAACTCGAGCGTGTCTCTGACACAATTGAGAGGGATCTGATTCTTGTTGGTGCAACTGCTGTCGAAGACAAATTACAGAAAGGAGTAAGGTTTTGTGATTTCCTATTGATTTTTGCCTTTCTAAAGCCATCTCTGATCACATACTTTCTCCACAGGTTCCACAGTGCATAGATAAACTAGCACAAGCTGGTCTCAAAATCTGGGTTCTGACGGGTGATAAGATGGAGACTGCAATTAATATAGGGTACGTATGCCTCACCAGCAATTCACATACGAACACCATTTAGTAGAAGCGATGTCAGTTTCTTTCTTGCTGTTGCAGATTCTCCTGTAGTTTACTTAGACAAGGCATGAAGCAGATCTGTTTATCCGTCGATAGCAGTAACATACTGTCATTAAACAAAGAAAAGGTACATCATTTCACCTCAATTATTTTGCCCTGGGATGTTGATATCACACATTTATATGTTTATATTTCATGACTGTTCTGCTCAGGCTGCAAAAGAGAATACTTTGATGCAAATAATTGATGCCCATGAAATGGTCAAGCTAGAGAAGGATCCAAATGCGGCATTTGCTTTGATCATCGATGGTAAAACCTTAACTTACGCCCTGGAGGATGACCTAAAGAATCAATTTTTAAGTCTAGCAGTTAATTGTGCTTCTGTCATATGCTGCCGGGTCTCACCAAAGCAGAAGGCATTGGTAGTATTGAATCTCTTACACAACTTTTTCAAATAAACTGGATTGAAAACATTACTTCGGTCAGTGATGCTTATCTCTTGGTTTAGGTGACTCGTCTGGTGAAAGAAGGCACAGGTAAAACTACATTAGCCA